TCCAACTCTCTCAAGGTTTCTAGTTTTTCCACTTAATACAAAGCTCCTCATTTTGTCAAGGCAAATTTAAGTATGGAGTAACTTGGAAATACCCAAATGGGGGGAAAAAGGAAAAAGAATGCCCTCCGACTCCTGCTCAATTACAAGTTTTCATATCATCCCCACCTCTCTACCTAGATCACCTCTTGGCTAAACTCAACTTGGATCCATGTAATAAAAATTAAAAGCTTGAAATTCATGAGGCAATGGTGATATCCTCCCTTTTTACATTTACCAATTCATTTACACTTCTCAAATAAAAAAATTAAATATAAACATAGTGGTACAAGTATCAGCAATGTGATGCGAGATCATAGTGCACATAACAACTCATATCGGTCATTTCAAACTTTGTACCACGGACTGGATGATGGTTCAAAAACTACATCAAAAAATTTATAGCAAAACACTTGCCAAGTATTTAAAGTTTATGATGCAGACAAATATTTGCAAACTTACAGGATTTTGCATGCTCACCAGCTCAGGAGGTAGTAGTGTTGTGTCTGAATGGTGAAACTCAATGAGTCTAAGGAAGTAAGATTTTTGAAATCCTACAAGACAATCAAAAATGTAGACAATAGAAATTTAGAATTTAACCATAGTTAACATGAAATGAACAAACTAGCAGTTAAAACTCTAACAACAAGTTCGATTAAAAATGAAAAATATGATGGCACCGGGTATAGCATCCATCACTGAATATCCATCCATGCAAACAAAAATGGCAAAATAGCGCATCTATTGTTCAGTCCTGATGTGAACATCTACCATTTCCACCGAAATGCAGATAATTATCTTCAAAACATTACTACTACAGCAGGAAAGTTCTCTAATAGCATTGGTAGTTGTAACCATAGAGAATTATATCCTAAAACTTACACAAAGTACAGGACCTGATGATGAAAATAACTGCTGCCAAAAGCCCCAAGATCTATCATCCATGACAAGTTCTCAATCCAGATTACAGAATAAGAATTCCAAGATACTCAGAGGCACTACTACCCTGTAATTACAAGACATCTGATGCTGAATAGGTAATTCATGAAAAGCACAAAAGCAAACAGCAATCTTCTTTTTCAATGTTAAATTGTAAATATCCTGATCCTCAAAGGTCAAAATTTTACGCACTACTCCATCGGTCTTCATTGTCTCACCAAGGAAATTAAACAAGCAAACCTAGATCTTTCCAACCCAATTATATAAAATATTTAGAACCTAAGACTCAGCTCAAGTGGTAGGAGCACTCTTCAGGTTCGTCAAGAAGTCAAAGGTTCAACTTTTGGCCAATGCCACCTCCTGAGGTTCAGAAACCCTTTGTACCCAAAATGAAAAAAGATCCAAAACAAGTGGTGGAGTGACTAAACCACACAGAAAACTTATACCCGGGCATGACTCACACTTGGATCAACATTTAGGTAAGCATAGCAATTTACATTAATAGACATTTAGGCAATGCAATATCCATACTTACTCTCCCTTGTCAGCCCCCGAGTCTTTGCAAGAGTTGCTTACCATTTGGATCATGTTCTTTGTTTCCTATTTACAGCAACCATATAGAGGCCTATAAAATATGTAAGAACCTAAGATAAAGGCAAGAAAAGGAGGAAAAAGAAGGGGGAAGAAAATTAACTGAAGCAACTATTGCTATATCTATAGAAAAATTTAAGTGTGAATCCACGTCAAATTTTTAAAACAAATTGTTCATAGTTGCTGTGTACAGATTGCTCTATGAGATCCTATGCCATTTTCTTACCTTCTCTCACTTCACATTGTTTCAATACTCTCTCAAATTCAAGAGAATCAATTCAAATTCATGAGAATCAGAGGCAAGAAATATAGGGGCTAAAGAATCAGAGGAGTAAATACACGTTTATATAGAGAGAAATAATGGAGGGAGAATAAAGGATTGGTAAGTGGGAAGCGAGATCTGTACAACCAGCAACTTGTGGCAATCAATCGATTAGCAGAAAGAGGCTCTGGCAGCAAATCTCCTGGAAGACCTAATGGAGCTCCTCCATTGCCATCATTGACAGGGCATAGAGAGACAGAAAGAGGTGCTGATGGGGACTGTATTTTTGAATGAAACATTTTGTGGTTACTGGAAAGGCCTCACAACATTATCCCTGATGTGTCACAAGGTTCTAATTCTGATCTACTTGACAATGTTATTAAAATACATTACTGCTTAAGCATGGAAATAGGCCCTATTAGGCCATTCTTGTTTTACTGTTTTCCTTGAGAAAAGAAGGCATTGGGGGTGGGGAGGTTTAAGTTACATTTTGCAACCCTGCAGCTTATAACAGATAAGAATGATATTTGGGGGCTAATTTACTTCTATCAAGATTTTAACACATGGATAACAATAGCAAATAGAAGGTTGATTTTCAATCTTAATTTTTTTCTAAGAGTGATGAGTCAACTATGAATTAAAACAATGAATCATGAACTGGTACTTGTAAAATGCAGATAGTCAAAATGTTATTTAGCCAAGCAAAAATGCTATATCAAGTATATACCATTCTCTCCAGCAAGGAGGAGAGAGGAGCTCTCTATTTTTTTGATTCATTAACCAAGACTATGTCCCCTTCGCCCAAAACTCCCAAACATAATGTATATATGTGCTCAATAGAGTATTCCACCACACCACAACAAAAAAATTCTGATCAAATTTGCAAACTAGCCAATAAAACTTGATTTGCAAGTAACATCTTTGATTTCATCAACAAGAAGTCATAAAACTGCCAAAAAAAAATGATATGCCAACCATATTTAACCACAACTCACATTATATCTAGAGAGTTAACTAAACCTTCTCCCAACTACATGAGTTTAGCTACATGGATTCTCTGTCCCCATTCTACGTCTACAGAAATAATCTCAATTATTGCAATCATATGTTTCTTTACTATTCCTACCAAATTTAGCTTTGGTCTTCCTCATCCCCCAACTTGACCTTAATGTATATACCATTAGTGATGATGGTTTGATTTCTCAAAAAACTCAGCCTTCTTAAACATTTTTGTGCAGCTCTTATATAGACTACAGGGAGTTTGATGGAGCATGGCAGCAGCTTTTTAAGGTGTATAAAGATATGCAAATAAGGAATCTAAGGCTCCAACATTGACTTGGCATGCCTTATTGGATTCAGATCCTGCTTCGTTTCTTGAGTAATTGAGCTCTGAGTCATCTGAAGTTAGTTATTTACAGTTCATGACATGTTTAGTTGTCTTATAATGTCAGAATTTCAGATTTTCTGATATGGGTTTTATTGTGGTTCAAGTTAATCATGCTCTATTTTATGAGTCTTGTTTGGTCAAAGTTGGTCATTTATGTCCCAAAGACTAGTTCCACTCTAATTGTTTAGTAGTTTTCTAACTAGGAATCTGAAGCCGCTCTAGGATTTTCCTGAGTTCCATACAAAGCTATGTAATGATCCTCAATCAATAGAATTCAGATTTTTGAGAAAATTTCAGAGATTTGAAGCTGTCCTTTGGTGTGTGTGATTTAACCCTAAGTGTGATGCCTAAGGACTTTAGAAGTGACTCTTTACTTGTCTTCTTCTTCTTATATTCTGCTGTTAATTCCTTCAAGTACAGGTACTTCACAACCCTTAAAACCAGTCCTAAACATCCATCATAACTCTCCTATATCAGAGTTAGTTTTGTTTCAGCAAATCAGAAGTTCAAAGCTAATTCTTTGTAACTTTAAGGGAAAAGAACTCTCAAAAGGTCAGACTTTTTCTTGTTCTATTTTCTTTTCTTAATTTCTGGGAGCTGCCAGTTACAAGATGAGAAGAATGAAAGAAGAAATGAAGAGAGAGTATAGAAGGACAACTGCTACACATGGGATATAATGAAATAGAGCTAATATAATACCAAGACATTTACTAAATATTAATAGCACCTTCTGATAGAACAATCTAGATTAGTATGATTCGAGGTTGGATCAGTGAGAGAATTTCACCAATTACAACATAAGATAAACTTCCATCACTTTCCCAATCAACAAATGGATGAAGGCTAGAAAGTCTAAGTTGCAATTACTTATCGTTCCCACATAACTCTTAATGTAGCCAATGAGAGTGAATGAGTCCTCAAAAATAAAAGAAATAAAACGGCAAGGAAAGGTAATACACATAAGCACAACTGATCAATTGATAACAACAGAATCAGATGCAGAATAAGCGCTACAAATTGGGAAGGCATATTAAACTTTTTCCTTAGAACTTGCTGGAAGGAAACATTATCCACCTGTCAGTTCTTATGCAGCCACAAGAAAATTTAAAATAAATAGACATTCCATTTGAAAAAAGGGGGAAAAAAGAAGAAGAAGACGACAAGGATAATTCACCAATTATATTTACTGCAATGGTCTTTTCTTTAGCACATCCTTTCTTGATTGTCACTTCCTCTTGTTTTATTCTCACTTTGTGCACAACAATGGCGGCTCATAAGTGAAATAAATGAATTAAGATAGATAATTTATTTTTCAATTGTTAGAAATTATCAAGTAAGTAGTTTCCAATAGGTAGATAATACCAATATGAAGTTGTTACCTATAATGTAGAAAAGTTATCTAACATATGGCAGGAGAAAATTTTAATACAAATATTACTTCACTTTTAAGGTGTTAATTAACTACTAGGTTTTCCATGAAACGTCAAAGAAGTAGAACAAGCAATGCTGCTGCTGCTGCTAGTACTCAGAAGGAATCATCTCAAAATAGTATATTGTATGGTTTACAGCAGCAATTTGGCACAAATAAAATGACATTCATAAAGGAAAAGACAAAATAACAAATTTTTCATGCATCATCCAACACATACAACAATGGAAAGAAGAAAAAGAATGGCAGCCATAAAGGAAGTATTCCTAGTTCTTGAAAACTTAACAGGATATATTTTTGTAGACACATAATTCCAAAGACATGCAATAAGCACCTGGTATCGCAGTAGAAAATGTTTAAAATGGGAATCCCTTGTGCAAGTTTTTTTTTGAGGATTCTGCCAAACGCTTGACACATTTTGCATTTCTGTAGAACTGCATCAGTTCATCAGCAACATTCTTTGGGTGACAATTAATAAATGCATTAACAAATCGCTTTTCTTTCATTCTCAAAGCTCTTAATAGTGCAGGCCCTTTAATTTGTGGATCGAGGCCCATATCCTCTATTTTTCCTGCCAGAAGTATCCGTGGCTTTAAAGCAGCCTCCAGATTCAAAAACAGCAAAAACGGGTGATCAAGGACCACCCTGGCTGGTAGTTTCATTGTTCCTAATACAAAAGTCATATTCCGCTGAATCTTGTCAATAGATAGAGTCAGAACAAGAGGGGTTCGTCCAAAAAGATCCAAAACCTCATCTTCTGAAAACCCAAACTTCTCGAGGTTGGCCAGCTTCTCACGGATTGTCTCGATGCGTGAAATGGCAATCACGGCAACCACATGTTTGTACAGTTTTGAATGCTTGGGGACCCCAGTCCTATTAATGTAATCCAACTTCTCATTACAAAGAGATGTTCGAGGAATTAAGGTGGGGCGAGCAAGAAGAATCTGAATCAAGTCCTGTCTACTCACACCAAGTTCACTGTATGTAGCAATCACAGGCTTGATCTTATTGTGGAAGTCATAGGTGAGAAGGGAAGGGTTTCGTACAATGGCTTTCAGAAGTACTTCTCTTGACCCAAAAAACGCTTGCAGATAGTCTAGGCGCTCATCAAAATGACGATTCAAGCTACCACTGAGGAAGCGGGGGCGACAATTGATTATCTTGACAAGGTCAGAAGATGTGATGCCCAATCCTCGAAGTAAGTCGAGTTTCAATTGAAGGTTGGCAATATCAGCCTTTCGCAAACCAGGTCGCCGCTGAAATATTTTTGATATGTCACAGTCGCTGCAACCCCATCTACGGAGAACATCCGTGGAATCCTTTGGGTGGTGGTCTTCAAATTTTATTGTTGAGTTTTCATTAAGAGTTTCACATAATGCGGGCTCTGCAGTGGCTGAAGCAGCTAAGGCAGTGCTAATCCAGAATCGGGAAAGCTTCAAAATTGGGGCCCTCAAACGGGAAGAATCAGAAGCTAAAGGGACAAAGCTTTCAGAGGCACGGAATAGGAAACCTAATTGGATAACAATATTGAATCTAGCTATCATATTAGGATACAACTGTTGAGACACTATTACTGAGTTTTCTGCAAGACCCGTGTCCGAAACCAGTACAGAAACAAGACAAAGCTATCAATGGTCATTCACTCTCAGGTTTAGGTTAATTAAGCAATGACCAAGGAAACCATTTATGAAACGGCCTTCAGAGCAGGAATAACTATGCAACAAAATAAATCGCTCGTCTCTCTCCATAATCTATATATACAGATACAGATATCAATTTGTATATAAGCGGCAACTGAGGTACAAACTGATTCACTAAGATTATAGCAGAAAGAAAAAGTAATGCCAGTCTATGCAAAGATGGAATCTTCAGCAGAGAGGAATATAGACCTACATCGAAGCTTGTTCCCAGTTAGTAGTTTCCCGGAACAAAGCCACAAAACCTCAAAATCGTCCGCAACCACCTTTGGTGAGTACTTGAAAACTACCTACTGTGGACAGCTGCGGCCTCTACCTACGCGCTTTTAGCTCACTTCTGGCCGTTTTGCAATCTCTCCTGGTCTTATAACGACGTCAAATACTTGGGTGATTTCTAATTTTAAAAAATTCAATTTTTTCAAATCTCGGATTTCAAGACTATTGATTTCCTATATTTCGTCGAGCATGTGTCCCGTTGAGTTGATTTAGTCTTACGGCGTGCGCTTACGAAAAACAACGTTGTAATATCGAAGACTGTTCCTAATTTATAAGATGCCTACAAATCAGTTTTTAGATTTTATTTTTACCTTTTAAAATTGAAAAAATAAGAAATAAAATTTGTTTTCTTAAATTGGGATATTGATATTTTTAATTTTAGTCACGTAATTCTAAACATTCTATGATAATTTTGAACAATTTTATTATCAAATATTTTGTTCAATTCTCAAATTATCTCCATTTTCACGATCTCTCTCTATTTTTACGTGGAAGGACGATGGTCAAAGTAAAGATATTAGGAATTTTGGGTAGTGGTGATAGCCACTATCCATTCTCTTCTTTATTTTTTTTTTTTTTTTCTCTCTCTCTCTCTCTACAAACCCATCATCCATGATTGAATTTGAAAAAAGTTTCAACCCATAACAGCCATTTGTGGTGATGGCTGCTATGTGCGGCAAAGATGATAGTTGCACGCAATTGCCCCCCAAATGGTCGCATGTGTGCGACAGTTGTGATAGTTGCACATAATGAAACCCAAATAGCCACTGCATGCAATGGTAGCGATCGCTACATGCAGCAATGTAAAAACCCGAATTCATGATTTATATGGTTTAAGGACCAAAATGAGGAATTAAAATGTATGGGGGCCGAATTGAAAATATCTCAGGGACCAATTCATGAGGAAAAACAAGTTAGGGGACTAAACTATAATTTTTCAGAAAACTGGCATGAATAGTGAACTGAATGATGGTTTTCTCTGATTCAGCCGCATTTTGTAATGATTTGGATCAGCTTTACGCACCTTTGCATGCATTTTTGAAGGCTCGATTGAACCCCTCAGTTTATTTCGATCTTGAGTGAGAATGGGTGAGGAATTTCAAGTTTTTTCTGGGTCATCTGGTTCGAGGTGGGAGCCAAGGGGAGAAATCCAGATTTTTGGAGGTTGTTGAGTTGTTTTGTTTCAATTAATCACTACTATGAGGGTCATCGGGGTTGGAGCTGTGGACTGGGGTGCTCAATTGGCTGAGGTAAGCTTGTTTCTTACCATTTCTCCTTATTTTTTTGGTTCCGGGTCTGTTTAGACCCAGACAGCTGCACCGGGTTCGTCTTCTGGGTGAAGATGATGAGACCCAGACGGATCCGGGTCTCTGTGCTGGGCTGGTCCAGGGCATTGGGCCTGGGCTTAGCCCAGTTGCCTTACTGGCCCGCGGGCTTGAGCCATGAGCCACCAAAAAAAAAAAGAAGGGATTGGGCTCGAGTTGTGGGTTGGCCCAGGCCGTTAGGCCTAGCGAGTTGGGCCGAGTTGACTTAGAGAGTCAACTAGGCCTTGGGTTGTTGAGGCGAGTTAACCCGTTCAGGTTGACTTTGTGAGATTGGGAGTATGCTATCTTCGAGGATAGTAGGGGTTGGGATAAGGAGGATTTGGGAATACCTGGAGATTAGATATTCCGGAAATTATTAATTTAATTTTTGAATTAGGGTTTGATGGGTGAACGGTCGGGGTTGACTGAGAGTTTGACCACCCAGTTCAGTGGTCAAATGGGCTTGGTTTGGGGTAGTTGGACCGGTTCTAGATTCGGGAAAAAAAAGATCTATCAAGCCAAGTGGGTTTGAAAAATTTTGGGTGGCCGGTTTAAGGTGAACCGGCTGGTTTAGTGTGGTTCCCTTCGGGCAATCGGTTCACCAGTTTTTAGACCGGTTCTTGGGAGTTTGGACCGGTTCCTAGTTCAACACTTTGATACCTAGATAATTGTGAAGTTTAATAATTTTTGGATGTCCAATACAAGGTGAACCAGGCTCGGTTTGTGTGTCGGTGCTTAAGGTTAGGGTTCTTAGCTGGTTCGGGGCTGGTTAAGGCCTTTTTGGCCAGTTCAGACCAATTCCTAAGATTTTTGGGCATTCTGAATCCGTTTTTGAGGGTTTCATGGCTGATCTAGTTGAGCTTGAGGTAGCTTTAGACTGGTTTAGGTTGGTTCGGGGGTTTTTAGAGGCCGATTCACTATGATTTGATGATTTTGGAGACTGGTTCTTTATTGTTGAGGGTTGTTGAGTGTTTATGAGTTGCATGGGTCTCGGTGATGGGTAGTAATTCCTTGGGATGTGTGCCACAGTGTCGGGATGGGAGTTGATCCGATTTTGGGCTATCGAGCTAGTTTTTTGTGCTGGTCTTGGCGATGGTGAAGGTTTTGTGTGGTTTTGATTACAGATATGCCTAAAGGGCTGCACTTAGACTAGTGAGACGGGTGAAGGTGGTCGGGACTTCCTGGTTGGCTTGGCTTCTACACTATATGGGTTGCTGTCATTGTCTCGAGTAGCATGCCAATCTTCGAAGCGACTGTCAGAGGATTGATGGATGTACAGGCACTTCTTTTTGTATCTATTCTCTATTGTATTTTAGAGTAACTTCCTTGTACTCTCAGATAGGGTCCCAAGTGGTTTTGTTGTTATATTGTTACACTTAGTGTATGATATGTACTTTTGGGTTTGGTCTGGTATGTTAAGACTTACTAGGGTCGGGGACCCTAATGCCGATCACGGGCCCAAGGTTCGGGGTGTGACAAGCAACTCCCAAATGGCTATTGCATACAACTATTGCGCAATGCAACAACGGCAACATCTTTGCACACACTAGCAACATCCACAAAAGAAAGAAAAAAAAACTTAAAATGGAAAACAATTAGGGAAAACTTTAAAAAAATAACCAAATACAAAACATATACCAAAGGATAAAAGTGTTATTTTGGTAATAAACATTTTTCTATCATCATTTCATAAAAATTATCTCTCAAACACTATTTTATTAATTTTAAGAACTTTTTTACTCGTCTTATAATTTCACTCCACTTCTGATTAAAATCAAATTTTACTCATTTTTACTTAAAACACTTACTTTTAGTTTTATCACAACTTATGCAAACATCCCCTTAACTTAAACTCAACTTATTTAAATTTAATTTAGCTTGTAAGTCAGTTAATGTTTTTAGTAATCTAATTTTTTTAACTCAAGTTCAGCTTGTACTAATTTTTCGAATAGTTCAGTTCAACTCATTTATTCACATATATTAAAAATTTAAAAACAAATAATAAAGTATTCTATTTAAATATTATTAGTAAATAATAAATTATAATTTTATAAATTTATAAGATTTTTATCTGTGATTTAAATTAATATAAAAATAACCTATTGGGCGCACTTGTATCAATTATCATAAAGAATATTAGCAATTATGTAACACCTTGTAATTAAAAAAAAAAAAAAAGAAGAGAGAGAGAGTTTGAGAACCCTTATCCCCGAACACCCCTTTTCTTTTATTTTCTTTTTCTCCTTCTCTCTCTCCCTCCTTTCTCCTTAGTCTCTTTCCCTTCCCCCTTCACTGACTCGTTGGCTAACCTTCACGTCGCCATTCGATCTCTTCTGCCACACGCTATACTCCGACGAACCTTGATCAAGTGCCTTGTTTTTTGGTGAGTCTTTCTCTCCCACATTTTTTCTCTCCTCTTCTTTTTCTCTCCCTCTTAACTGCGAGCCACCCCTGCAGGACCTTGAGCTGGTCCTTTTTCCGATGATTTCTTCACAAGATTTGTCGGCACTAGCCATCTAACTATTCTCTGGCATTTTCTTCCATTTCTGGCAATTAGGGCGCGAGTGGTGAGGCTGAGCAACCCCTGTTCTGTAATCACTCGAGCCAACCCTCCCTTTGCTTCTCCATCGCCCATAGAAAAGCTCCTCCTCACTGTTCCCCGCGTAATCCCTCACTTGTTTGACAAGCACCACCACGTCGAGCTCGCTTACGAGAATGTTTGCACATTTCATCTTTGTCCGGGAGACAACGTCATCACCGTTCTTGCTCGCATTACCGATGAGATCCAATGGCTGCTAATCAAGGATCAAGTGGCAGTTAAGCTTGACGAGTCGCATCACTTCGCCTCACTATGGGATCCAAAAGAGAGTGGATCTGGATCTGGATTTGGATCTTATTCGAGCGACAACGAGTTGAACTTTAGATTGATGATTGTGCTAGAGGGTAAAAGAGATCGCGTGTGGGCCATCTTGGTAAGCTCTTTTTCTTTTCTTGCTTCTCCCTTAATTTTTAGTTCTTGGGCATGGTGGCTGTCATGATTGTTGATCCCTTAAACATATGCTTTGTACCTTGAATTAAATAGATTTGGACTATGTATTAAGATCGAGTTTTGGAATTGGTCTAGAAGGTGTTATGTTAGGTTGTTTGTCGTTATTTAAGGTATGAATCTCAGATGTTCCTTGCATAGGTAGATTTGGTAATCCCTACTTTCAATTTGGCTAATTGTTCTGTTTTGATAGCCACTTATCATTAACCATTGAATGGAAACATTGTAGTTAGGACTTACGGGTAAACATGGAATAGGTGGGGATGATAGAGAAATGGTTTTCTTGTGGTTTTTGTTGTTAAGTTGGTCATGATAGCTTGCTTATGTGTTAGGTCCTTTGGAGGCTCTTGTTTGACACTATCGATTTTGTACCGCTGTAGAAGCTTGGACTAATCAACTTGGTGTTCAGTGAGTAATTTTACATAATCTTTGTATGTGTTTTTGCTAAACTGATTTCTGAATGAATTATTTATTTTTAATATTTCTAATTCATTATCATGTTTCCTAATTTCTATATGATTTATTATGTTTTTGGAGAAATAGTTGATATAAATATGATAGCATGATTATTGAATAAATTGTTTTAAAATTGGGACAAGTATCATGAAAACATGCAACCTTGAACTTTCGTCATGTATTGCTTATAAAATAAAAGTGCTATTTCTGTTTACGAGGATGCATAGATTTTGATAAGTATTTGTGTTTGATTTTGAAAAGGGAACCGAAAATGTGTTTTGAACTTTGATAAAAACTTTGGAAAATAATAGTGTTGTAGAGTCTTTGATACACCTCAGCTCGTAGGGCATTACTAGTCTTAGGGCACTTTGACCCCTAGCTGGCAGGGGTAATGATACTAACCCATCGTGTTTGGCCCACACGTATGGTTCAGTTCTGTGATTGCGCGCTTATCGTTATTCTGTTCTGATTGGAGGCCTCGAGCCCCATACTGTTGATTTGTATGTGAACTCCCGCACTATTCTAAAAGTATGAAATTTGTGTATCGATTGTTTACTATTCGAAATATGTGATTGTATACTGATTATTTTATATTTGAAAATGATGATTGGGGTTCCCAAAAATGTTTTACTCTATTGATTGAATTCTATGAAATGGCTTTTCAAAAGTGTTCAATTTGATACTTGCCCCAATATATTTAGATTATGTATTATCACTCACTGAGTTTCGAGACTCATTTTTTTATTTTTCCCCCCTCCAGGTTCAGTTTCACATGTTAATAGAGAAGTTTCGGAAATAGGTGAGCGCTACGCTTGATTTTATGCTTGGGCATATCATTTGTATTGTCTTTTTATTACTCTTATTGTACTAGTTTAGATTTAGTAAATTCCTAGACTTGCTCCATTTGTCCACAGGCAGGATCATGTTTCTATTGCGTGACTCTACTTATGCTTGTAGTATAGTTGCATCGTTCTGCTTAGTTTTACAAGGGAGGATGTCGTTAAGCATGTAACATTGACCTGGAATATAACTGTGCAATATATGAATTGCTTGAGTCGCTCTTAGTATATATTATCTTTTTTAGCAGGTTTGAAAAATTCGAAAATGTTCAATTTTTAAGAAAGATTTTGCCAAAATTTTTGAAGAATCCCACACTTATGATTCGTTTGATAGTGACTCTTAAGGCTGACTAGGGTGGTTAGGTTCACCTTAGTGCTGGTCACGTGCCCCTCTGTTTGGGTCGTGACAAATTAAAAGCATGTAAAATTTCAGAGCAAAAGGATTCGAGTAAAGCTGAGTGTTGAGATTTCTCTTTGACTAAGTATACACTTTGTACACAATTATATAAGTAACTGTTGAATATATAAATAGTATAACAAAGTTGAAAAGAGTACGTTATAAAACCAAGCCCACGTGAAGTAAAAAGGTCCTATATCTTTTTATCTCAAGTTTGAATTATATTTTATTCGAGTCAAAAAATTTAACTTATATATTACTCATTTAATTCATGAACTTGACTTGTAAAACTAATTATCTAATTGAACCATGAATTGTTTATGACTTAACTCAACTCATTTCCGTCACGATAACTAATATCTAGTGATTAATTTTTAACATTTTCAATAAATACAAAATTTATTTCAAATTGCCTAACAACACAATGTTATGTCTCGTGTGATAAGTAATTTTAATATGTCATTTCTAGAGTCTTGCGTGTTTTTATAAACAAATCTATTTTGCAATAGGCTTATGCTATCTTTTTATTTCCTTTTTTTAAAAAAAAAAATCGACAAGCATTGGTTTTCTTACCACAGGGCTATTTTACTAAATTGATCCAACTCAATGTTATCTTTGAATGTTGTTGTATATTTGGCGGTAGATTTTGATACAGTGGTGGGGGCAATATATTATATGCCTAATGTGTATATAAATTTATATATATATATATATGTGTATATATAAATTTATATATATATATACACATTAAAAAATTTGTACACATACCAGCTACTCAATTGAATTATTTTATTAAGTCAGAATTTAATATCAAATACACTAAATATCTCTCAATATCAACAACATTATTAAATTAGTGTGTGTATATATCTGCCATTATTAAAAAGGTGATAATAAAATTGTCCCCTTCCAAAGCACTCAATAAAATTGTTCCAATTATGAAAAATTTTAATATTTTGTTGTTATTTTTGTGAGTAATGCTCAAAAGAAAATGAAATAAACAATATGTCACTTCTTTGCATGGCTTGTCATGTGACTCGTTTTGTGTTAAGATGAACATAAAGAGGTCTCGCTGCTTAGACATTGAATGCACTCAGCCACGATCAATTCATTGCCTCGTCTTTTATCCTCAGTTCCCTTCCTCCTCCGTCATTTATTAAGTTTTAACAAAAAATGCATTGTCACCTGCTGTCATCTTATTCTTTGCGCATACATGATTTGAGATATATGTGTTCTCTAATCATAACAAGAGATGTCAGAAACTGGATAATCAGAGAGTTTTGAAAAATTAAATTTATGTCATTGGGGCACATTAAAAATGTTGTTTGTTCATTATTTTCTTATAGCTGTTAGAGTAAAATAGCATTTTATTTGCATCAACGTGAAAGAAAGCCATAATAACTCTCCTGTTTTAGTTAATTTATACAAAATTCTCTTATGATACGAAAATTGAATCAAAATAAATTGTGTTTCATTATTCTTTACATCAAAATCCCTTGTCTATTAAAGTTTACTTTTGAAAAAAAAAATCACAATGCTCTTGTACTTTATTTAGTTTGCACAAAACCCCTCTTAATATAAGAATTAAAATAAAATATAATATTCTTCCACCTATTTCAGATAAAAAAATAATTGTAAATTTTACTTTTCTATGATTTAGTTAAATGTCAAAAATAATCCTTTAATTAAAAATGTTATCTTTTATCATATAATTCATTTGTTCTGTAATAAACTCAATTTTCTAATATTAAGAGTTAAACATATCTATTTTAATATTTTTATCTTTTTTCTTTCTCTTTGTTAAGCGTATTTTGTCTTTCTAAAAATTGTTCAACAATATTTTTTCATAATAATTCTTTCTATAATTAAAATAACTAAACCAAGCTAAGAATTCTATAATTTTTTAAGAATAAATAAAAACAAGGACAAAACTTAATACATATTATTTATTTTGGTCCCCAACATCTTCCTTTTTTTAATATATTAACTTCTATCTTTTATATTTTTTAATTAAAATCCCATTATTATAATTTAAAACGGTTTGATTATGGAAAAAAAATATGATAAATGTTTATACAATCTTAAAATATAAAGAAGTTCGGTTCAATTTTCATATCAAATAAACATTTTGTGCACCCTAAGAATAACACAGGAGAATATTTTACATTCAATGCACATGAGCACAATGAGAGAAGATAGGAGGGGAAGCAGATCATTCATCACTTGCATCAAGCACTACCACCTTAGCCAGAGTGATAAAATATCCAAGGTTCCATTTCCTAAATTTCAATAAAATAGAAATTAATCTCAGATATTTTATACAGGAGTGATCAATACAATCAATTCTGTTGGCCACAGGGAAATACTGAAACAAAAACTTGTTACCCTAATAATATTTTCAAGTCTGGTTATATACCAAAAAGAATTCAGGTCAATCTTGTCTAGAAAATTGATCAACCTCTCAAATCAACGAGGGGCAACAGGAAAACCAATGAAATTACCTATTAAGAGTCACCACAGGAGCATTTCCCACCAGAAAAAATGATGAAACCAGTAAGGGTCCCTTAGTATAATTTCCCATTGAATAATTTTACTGATATACTTGAAAACAGAATGACAGTCAGTCACCACAAATGCAAAGGTTCTTGAAAATTAGCCCCAAACCATTCAGAGAATTGATCAACCCATATACCAAGGCAAGTCTCTCAACTATGGTTTCAAAGACCGAGTTTCTTCTGTCTTCGTCAGTGTCATGCAATGTAAACGTTGTGTCTGAAATATAACCTGTTCCAAAATGATCTTTCTAAGCTCTCCCAGTTTCGCATAGTTCTGCTCTGTCTGAGGATGGGATTGGTTTCTAATGCCAAATGAACTTTCATTTTTTTGATTTGATCCAACTGAAAGCTGGCTGCTTTTTGACGCGATATGACTGCATGTGTTCTCTAACGTACTCCACATGGTCCCATTTTCCAGAATTAGCACAAACATTGGAAAAAAGGACATAAGCCGAATCATCCGATGGGTTGAATTGAAGAATATTTTCAGCGGCTTTCCTTCCCAGCTCCACATTTCCATGGATTCTACAAGCAGCTAACAAGCTTCGCCAGACAAACTCATTTGGTGGCACCGGCATTTCTTTAATGAAATTCTCTGCCTCAAAAAGCCTTCCTGAACGTCCAAGAAGATCAATTATGCACACATAGTGTTCTATGTGAGCTGGCACACCAAACTGCCTAGTCATTAAACTGAAATATGCAAGGCCCTCTTCTACTAGGCCACCATGACTACAGGCAGATAGAAGAGAGACAAAGGTTACATGATCAGGCTTTATCCCTAGCTTTACCATCTCGTGAAAAGCTTCTCTAGCTTTATCAAATAAACCATATCTGGCAAAAGTTGATATTAATATGTTCCATGATAGCCGTGATCTCATGTTTGGTTCAGGAAGCATTTTCAAAACATCATCCATTTCTGCACACTTCCCATACATATCCATTATGCCATTGGTGACATACAGATATGAGTCAAATCCAAGTTTAATGGCCTGACAATGAAGCTGCTTCCCCTCATCCAGAATAGCTAAATTTGCAGTAGCAGCAAGAGAGGAAGAAAAGCTGAACTGATCGAGATCAGCTCCAGCTCTTTGCATCTCCATAAAGAGTTTTATAGCTTCTTCCCCATCACCATGATGAGTATTTGCTGCAATCATAATATTCCATGTCACAGGGTCTTTGCTCAGCAATCTGCTAAAGATACACTTACTTGATTTGAGATCACCACATTTGGCATACATTGTCATCAGGGAATTCCTCACATAATCATCAGATTCAAATCCTGTCAGAAATATATGAGCATGCATGGACCGACCATGTATCATTAGGGCCCTGGCATTTGAGAAAGCACCAAGAACATTAATGATAGAGATATAGTTAGAAGGTATGTCGCTTCCTCTCAGCAACTCAAAAACTCTCACTGCTTCATCTGGCTCTTCATTCTCGGCATAGCTGCCAATAAGAGAATTCCAAGTAACCAAGTCTTTCTCAGGCATTTTTTCAAAGACCTTTCTAGCTTCAGTCATTATTCCACATTTCCCATACATGGTTACTAGTGCATTTCCAACAACTAAATTATCTTGAAGGCCAAATATTATCACAAGAGCATGGATGACCTTGCCTTCAGCAATGAATTCAGGATTTGAGCATGCAGCCGCTGCACTAGCGAAAGTCACAAAGTTCATTGTTTTTCCCACCTTCAACATTTGAACCAACACTTTCAAAGCATTCAGAAACTTCCCATCCAGAACATATCCAGCCATTATTGAATTCCATGATATTAAATCCCTCTCTGGCATTTCTTGGAACAATTCTTCTGCTTCTTTAGGTCTTCCAGCATTAGAGTACATGGTAAGAAGAGTGTTGCATATACAAATATTTGAATCCAATCCCAACTTAACAACAAGTCCATGAATCCCTTGACCCCACTTCAGGTTATCCATGCTCCCACAGACTGATAGTAAAGCAGACAGAGTGATTGCATTTATTTCATTATGAACAAGACGCATTGAATGAAAATATCTATATGATTCCTCACAAAGTCCATTAAGTGCATAAGCCGAAATCATTGAATTCCATGATATAGTGTCCTGCTCTATCATGTGATTAAAGACATAGCAAGCATTTTTCATGTTGGAAAAACTACCAAACATTGAGATGAGAGAATTAGCAACAGAAACATTATTCTCATATCCAGACTTTATAACAAGTGCATGCACTTCCTGACCCATTAACTCATCCTCAAGCAACCCACATAAACTTATTATAGATGTGAAAGAAGTTTGGTTACAAGCAACCCCTTCATGCCTCATTCGTCTATATATATTCAGAGCCTCCCCAGGATCTCCATTGTCCAAATATGTGACCAATAATGCAGTCCAAGAAACTATATTCTTTATTGGCATATCCTCAAAAAGTCTCTTAGCACTAGAAGCAAACCCATACACACCATAAAAGTGCAGCAATGAAGTGCCTACGTAAACATCCCACAACAAGCAGAGCTTAATGACAAAACCATGAATTTGAAATCCTTCATAAAGCATATCAGTTGACCTACTGCACGCAGTCATCAAACTAGCAATTGCAGCCCCACTTGGCTCTATTTCTTGAACCCGCATTTCAACAAATAAATCAAATGTATCTTTATATGAACCCACTCGAACGTAAGCAGACATCACGGTGTTCCAAGAAACTTTATTTCTTTCAGGCATTTTGTCAAATAGGTACCTCGCAGCTTCCATGTTGCCAAACTTGGAATACATGTTTACCAACGTATTCGTATGAAATGTACTCAAAGGGATGGAACTCTTTAACCAAACCGCGTGAACTGCTTTCCCAGTAATTTCCTCGGTGATTTCCGAGAAGCCTTTCTTGAGGAAACACGATATTTCTGGGCTCTGATGGTGGGAAAGGCAAGGAATTCCATAGCCTGTGGCTCCTTCTTTCCATGGGATCGAGAAGGGTTTTGGTTCAAAGTGATTTGGGAGAAAAACCGCCGACGAAGAAGCAGGGAAAATTCAAAAATGGTCCCAAACTTCCTACAGAGCCTTGCCAGCGTTGCTTGTTTCTCCTCAAAATTATTCCAAAGATTTCTTCCCCTTGCTCTGTCGGAATTCAGATTGAGAGTAACAATACTTAGATAATCCGATTTACAAAAAATACAGGATCCAGGGAGCTCCAAGAAACTCGGTAAGCATGTAACAGCGAGGTTCCTGAAGCGCGCTAGGGAACTTTTTCCCGAAAGATTGTGATTTTAAATAAATGAGAAAAAAAAAAAAAAGAAGTAACAACCTAAATGCAAATACACCCCTGGACTATCACTTTTTTCGCAAAACCCCCGCATTTTGAAATTGTCTCACAACTATCAGAATTCTTCAATATACTCTAAAACTCACTTTCCAATTCAAATATTAAGCGAACATTTAGTTGTGTGCCATGCAAATTGCAATTATCCATGTCTTAAAATTAAAATACTCGAGCAAAAGCCAGTGCAAATAGTATATTTTATGAATTTAGGGACAAAACTTAGAAGAAAATTTTATTTTGGGGTGCCAGCAAAATAACTTATCATTTCTTAACCTTTAAACAATATATGGAATGTAGGCGAGTTCGAAAATTAAAAACTGTTTACAAACGGGTAACAATCCAAAGGATGTATTTGATTTTGTTTTTCCTTTTGGGGCCAGAAAATCATGGAATTCTACTTCTGCCCATAGTTGCTGGAGTTTGGACTGTCAGGACCATTCTTTTCATGTTTATTTTTTGGCAATAAACTCCCTGTTGCTTTAATTTCAGTTGGAAAGAAATTCGTGTTATGCCTCTTCATATATTAACATGCTCTTTGTTCTGAAGAAATTTACGAGGTCGTTTAGTGAAATTTCTAAAAATAATTTTTTTCAGTAGAAGGACATATGAATTATTTTAGAAGTAGTTCCAAAATCTAAAAGTATTTCTAAACATAACCTATAAAAAGTTTTACCTGGCTTCTTACCTTTCAAATTCCTTGTAAAAGTACTTCTGATAAGATTAGATATGCATTTTAGAATTTTAAAAAATTCTTAATTTATCCTTTGTTTTTCCAAAATTAAATATCCACTAATTTATCTTATTCTCTTAATATCTTACCATTAAAAGACGAAATCTTCACATGAGATAGAAATATATATATGTATGTGTGTGTGTGGGTGTCTCTGTGGGTGTGTGTTTATAACCAGTTTTGTTATATTTTTAAATTGGCATTGCTAATAATTCCTCTTGTTTAACCTATTATAATAGCATTTACTTTTAAAATTTTATTAAATAAAGTTAAGAAATAATAATATTAATAAAAATTTAGTTGATACCTTTTGAAAGGTTGCCACTAAACATTCAATTTTTTTATTTTTATTTTAAGTGAGTTGATTGACTTCTCACCAAATATCCTTTAGCCTTAATGACAGTATAGGCCCCTCAACTCGAACTCAATATTCAATGTGGCCCTCGTACTCAAATGTTGTTCGAACAAACCCCTAAACTTGTCCAGCATAACCAATTCAGCACAATCCTACAGGGCACAAACTCTGTTACCGCAGTGCCTAAGTTACAGCTCTTTCAGCATTTTGATAGCATTTTGCAGCTTCAACATAATTTTGGATCACATTCAACATTTTATACAGCATTTGAGAGCGAAAATGGGATTTTGAACAACATATTCACATTATTTTGGATGGCATTTTCGGCATTTTGTGCCACATTTAAGAACATTCAGTGTTTTGGACAGCATGTCAACATATTAGACGGCATTTGACAGCGTATAGGCAGTAAGGGTGTTGGACTTCGTTTAGGAGTTGGGTGAATTGGTTATTCTGAACGAGTTCAGGGTTTGATCGAGCAATATTTGAGTTGGAGGGCCACATTGAATGTTGGAATTTGAGTTGAGGGGCAAGACCATCATTACTCTATCCATTATTACCGTTTGAAGTCCTTTCCATAAAATGAAATGCTTACCTGTTCTTCATTTTAGAGAGCTGCCCCAAATGCCGTCCTACATGGCTCTAGCAAATTAACTCCCTGCCCTTTATTGCGCCTCCCCTCCCCTGCCCACCCCTCTCCTCCACAGCCACGAAAGGGAAGAGAGAACGCCTAATATCAACCAATCTTGTTTCCATTTCATACTCGTTAAGCATGACATGAAACACAATTGAACCCAAAATTCTATTATTCATAAATTATTCAGAAAGTAGTGTCAATGACCCTGCTTGCAATGATGATATAAAATTGCACTGAAGTGATTATGGTGGAAATATTACTTGCTTTGTCAATAGTAACACATATACACGACTCTGAAGTAGATCCAATCTTTAGAGTCAGTGGACTAAATGTTATGCACATATGCTTGATATTACAAGCAAGAGCGTTAGTTTGACCTAAAAAACGTGTACGCCACCTATCAAATTCCCTGATGATGGATCAGTTTTAGCATAAGAAAACGACGGATCAACAACTAACTGGCTAGAGCCCGCCTCAGCCTTGCTCGTTGGTCTGATGTCAATTTTGTTGGAAACTTGACGTCAAACTTGATCCTCAAATCTCCTCTGTTGCCAGACTCCTTTGCAATTGGCATCCCCTCTTTTTCAACTACCAACTCATAACCAGGGCTGACTATGTCAGTGACAGGAATTGACAAGCTACGGCCATCCAGGGTTTTGAGGTTCACAGTGATCCCTCCCATGGCCTCCGCCAAGGACACTGTGTGGTTCATCATGAGGTCGTTGCTGTCTCGAGTGAAAATGCTGTGGGGCTTCTCATCAATCACAAAAACGAGGTCTGCAGGTAGCTGGTTTGGCTGCACATTCCCTTTGTCGGGGAATGTGATCTTCGTGCCCTTTTTCCACCCGGGTTTCACATCAATGGTTAGTATTTCTGATTCAGGCAGTGCCTGCCTGCCATTTATTCATCCAAGAAACAATCAGCAGACAACATTTCAGCCACAATATCAAGTAAATGCATTTGATCGTAAGGAAAAGCAAACAAGAAAGACCAAAGCAATAAACAGAAGAATTCCAGGAAATTTATGAACAGTATCAGCAAGAAGCCAACTACTGCAAGATGACCAAAGTATCTTGCACGTCTTTTTACTGGCTTAGTAATAGCAGCAATCAGACAAGGTAAGTCGTTAATGCGTAAGCATGCAACAAGATAATGTACAAGTTATTTGGCAAAATTCTGTGACCTTAACAAGTTGGTCAAGGCGTTAGTCTGGTGCCATATATTTAAATATTCAAGCTTTATTTTATCCGGCGAGTTTTCAACCCGCATGCAACAAACTCGTAATATGATAAAATCAACACCCTCATTGTGCATAGGCATCTGCAATGGCCTCACACCTCTTACAAAATTGCTTTCCAAGCACTACCCCCAAAACTATCGTTCTCAGAAAATTTATACTTAATTAGAAAAAAAAAACTTATATCTTAATTTTGACATAGGAGAATAAATGATAAAGTTGTGAAATGCAAGCAGCGTCTGGTCATTATAAGTAATTGAAGAAATAAAATATGCTAATTTGGCTGGAAAATGATTCGTTGTTGAAAAAATGGGTAGATCAAGCATCATGAAGCTTTAAGCAGACACCAGTTAAGGGTAGAAGAAGAAGTTATGGACATAGAATTTGAAAGGTTCTCACAAAAGTATCATGAAGGTAAATAGCAATGTCCATGCTAAGGGAGGCAGTAAAATTTGTTGGTAAAATTTAATCCAACACAGTCAAATTCGATAAAGGAACATTGATATAGCAATATTAGAAGAATAAGCCTACCCATTGAAATCAACTACTGTCCTAGATATCTTCATTTTTCTTGTAGATCCATTGTACAGTTCCTCAAGGGTGCAAGGCAATTTACTCTCTATCGGTGGAGGCTTTTTTGGCCAGTTAGCACCAGCTCCATTACAACTATAGGTTCGGAACATATTTTCATTCCCACCAAATCCTGCAAATGTTCCTCCTCCCTCGGACTGAAACTTTGTGTTCCTAACACCACTCTTTGGTGTATATTCGAAAGGGCTGCTCCCAAAAAATTCAGCAAAAATATCTTCTGCATTCCGCGGGTTAAACCCATCAGAGAACCCACTGCTGCCAGGCGGTGGCATGTCTTTCAATCCTTCTTCACCCGCTGATCATAGATTTGCCTTTTGTGCGAATCGCTCAAGACCTGGAAAAGCACATCCATCCAACTTGAAATCTTAATAAGTTGACACGAAGCCAATGCAATTGTGGAAATCTATATTAGTGTTCTTCCTTTTTTTGTTTTTTTGAAACAGAAAAAACATTCAAAAACAAATCCAACACAGGTTTCAGGGCCATGGACCCACAATATAACATTGGAGGCACCCAAGAAAGCAACAGGTTCAATCATTTGTACTAAATGGATGAAAGGAAGCCCAGTAATTCTGGAACCAATGAAAACAAAATTTCTTGCTAAAAAGAAATAAAAATGAACTACCACTTCTATTCCTATTTTGTCCACCATTTTTAACCGTCAATGAAAGAGGGGAACGTAAATGAAAATCCCCAACTAATAATTACATAATTAACACGAGAAACACCGACTGGGAGAGGGAGGAGGGTACCACAATCAAAAGAGACATAAGGAAGAAATTGACTTACTTCATAAGCTTCAGAGAGTTGTTTGAATTTGGCCTCAGCTTCTGCCTTGTTGGTAGGGTTCTTGTCGGGATGCCATTTCATGGCCAATCTCCTGTAAGACTTCTTCAGGTCCTCGTCCGTGGCATTCCGGTTTACTTTTAATATATTGTAGTAATCCAACCCCATTGCTAAAATCAATTTTTCTACCTATATAAATATTGTCGATTCTACGTGAATACACACGCGCGTGTAGAATTTGACTAAAACCGTAAATATATCTCCAGATGATCAATTCTGCATCTCCACCTGCAATTCTCAGATGTATCTCAGCATCATCAATTGTCAAAACCTTGAGACGTGTTCGAAGCCGAAGCAAATTCGCACTTCCTCTCTCTGTGCAGGTTCAAACTCAACACGCCCCGCCTCAAACAAATGTCAAATTACAACACGCCTATTTAGAAATTCTCTAGCTCTCTCTGGATTTTGAATTATGGGAACCCTGCCTGAAACAAATATCAAATGACGGAAGGCCTCTCTCCGTCTCTCTATCGGTCTCCAATGCAAATGTTCTCCCCCCATCTCTTCCAAATTCGAAGCGATGAAATAAAGCATGCAACGAGAAAATCGGACGTAATTTGTTAATTATTAAAAATAATTTTTAACGTCAAATTAATAAATTAATTTAATTACTTTTACAGTTTATTAAGAAGGCCAGCGCGTTTCTTGTGAGTAGCTGTCAGGTCATATTATATTATGAGAACAACGAAGTAATGCTAAAATAAATATAAAATATGCATACTAAAATTATCACGTTAAATTTAATTAAAATAAATGAATAAAATTAAGTATAAATATTTTTTTATTAGATTAATATATAATTATTTTCACTGTGTTAATTTACTGTATTTTTATTTTTAAAATATTAATAAAATTTATTCATTAATTGTGACTAAATTAATAGTATAAAATTTAGTGTAAATATTTTTACACTGGCACTTGTATAAACTAATTCCTCTTTTTATATATTATTATTATTTATTACATATAAAAAAATAGATCAATTAATACCAGTATAAATATAAAAAAATTTATACTAAATTTTACACGTTAATTTGGTCAAAATTAACGGATCAAATTAATTAATATTTAAAAAAAAAATAACTGTAAATTAATTATTAAAACACAGTTATAATGAATCTCATTCATTAATTTTGACCGGTGAAATTTTTTACACTTATACTCTTTCTCTGCATATAATTATATGAGTAAACAATGAATAATTTTTTTTAATACGCCCACATATAGATATATGAACCTATTAGAGACATTATTTGGATTTTCTATTTTTAATCACTCTTTTTTGTGTTTTACCTGTATTTTCCATTTTTTAAATTACATTAGGTGTCAAATATGTCTTTCTATAAAAAAAATAGTTGTTTGTTTAATGATGTTTATGCCTATTATTTATTCTTTTTTTTTATTTTGAAACACGCTGTAACTAATAAGAAAATTTTGATAATTAATTTATTTCAAAAATTATCAACTTTAATTGAAATGTACAAAATTTCACAAGCTGAAATTCAGAAGTCTTTTCACGTTCATTTTTGATTTGTTTCTAAAATCTTCCTCTCTTCTATTTCCCATTTCAGAGAATTTTTGTGTTTCTTTCTTTAATAAATTTTTAGAAAAACGTTTACAATTCTGGAAAGTAAAAAATGAAGGGAGAATTTTTAAACCATATCAAACTCAGCCTAAAAATATGATTTTCTTTTTCCAGTTTTATCAAAAGAAAATGACCTAAAGTGTTCTTAAGAAACAAAAAATAAATAAAAAATTTTCAAGTTTTCAAGCTTGTCTTGGTTATTCTTTTTTCAGAGTTGTTTATAGGTCAGATTTAAATTAAATTAGATACACTCGAATTCAAACCTGAATCTGATTAATATTCTCATATCTGAATTAGATGGATAATTTAAAATTCGACAAGAAAATCTGATTTAATAAGAAAAATAATAATTTTTTCATTTAAATCCATTAACTCTATTTTATCAATCGTATTAATTCTTGAATTTTTTAATTTTTTTTAATTTAGTTCAGACAATTTTAAATTTATTAATATTATATATAAGATTATTAATTTAACTAAAAAATATTATTAATTTCAAATTTAAATACTTAACAGGTTGGATTTTTTATTTTATATCTAATCCATTTATTTTAAAGTATAAATATTTATAATTAGAGCTAATTTATTGAATATTTTAATCAGAATTGAATCCTAAATTTTGAATTGGATTTAAATAAAATTCTGGATAAAAATCTAACACATTAAGAGTTTTACTTTCCTTTTCATATACTTTTGCGTTGTGTATTTTAATTCTCTCTCTGTTTATATTGAGATTTATTTTTCAAAAATTTATTTTAATCAAAGAAAAAGATGAATTTTTTAAAAGGAAAAAATATAGAAATGATTAGATAAATGTCTTTGATTTTTGTCATAATTAAAAAAAAAGAGTGCGTTTGTTTGACCCTTTTTTTTATAAAAAGTACCTTTATATAAAAGAATTTTTGAAATATTTTATAATGTTTAGGTAAATGTTTCAGAAAATATTTTTTTCCAAAAAATTAAGTTCTAAAAAAATACTTACGAAAAAATCACTTTCAAAAAAAAAAAAATTATCCAAACATATCCTAAATTATAAACTTGTTGGGTAGATTCCAATTTTAAAATTTTAAAATAAGTTTTACTTTGGTTTATTTACGATTCTTACACAACGACCAACTGACCCAACTAAATAAAATTGATTATGTTCATCCACATGAATATATAAAATTTTATATTTTTATATAATTTTTAATAAGAAATAAACTCACATAGATATCATATTATTATTTAATTAAACAGCAAAATTTAAAAATAATCATGTAGTTTTCTTCTGATTTAGAAATAAATAATTTTAATTTATAATTTATAAGTAGTTTTAATATATAACTTGCAAGCGTATTTTATTTTATAAGTTGATAAGCTTTACCTTGAAATCGAATTCAGTTAAAAGGTAAAACCGATTTTTTTTTTTTACCTGTTTAAAAATCTAGAAGTTAGACCCTATGCATTAGATTTCAAGTTACACTGAATTCAAAGCAGCTTAAACCATGCTCCGCCCTGCAGTTGTACTGCATTAGTAGCCACGCGGGCAGCAGCTGGAACGTAAAAACTGTGGTTGACCCAACCACACCCATTGGGCCTACACATGAAGAGTAATTGAACAACGTTCAACTACTTCTCTTTCAGTCCCTATTATTTTATTTTCTAACAGTTAAATCCCCAAATTTTGTCTAAGCTGCTCATACACCATTAACTGTCATTGATTTTTTATGATAAAAAATCAAAAAGGAAAATTTAAAAATAATAAGCCCTCCATTAGTTCCTTATCGCTTTCCCTTACCAATTTCAACTACTACTAACAACTTTTCTAGCCTTGTGCTTGCTGGCCTTTCCTTACCATCACTCTTGCTAGAGTCGTACCATTCTTGCTACAAGGACTGCATGCATGGCAGCTGAAAACAAAATTTTGAAGTTCAATGACAATATTTTGAATTGTAATCCTATTTGATATGATACAAAGATTCTACATCAACGATGATTAGTTTAATTAGTTGGAATTTAGTTTGCACTCTTATTAGGTTGAAAATTCGAGTCTTGCCAACTATTCTTCTTGGTAGATGATTTCACTGTAAACCATGACTAAAATTCATGATTTGTATTGATCTCATAGTAAGAGAGCTTCCATTCACCTAAACTTTTGTTACAATTTAAAAAAAGTTTCTTCATAATATTGTTGATCTAATTTATTTGAACAAAATAAATATTACTACGATACATTTTATATTTATCTTGATTTGAAATTTTTTAATAAAATCTAATTGGATTTATCAGCATAATTTTAAATCACATTTATGTCATTTTTTCTAATACATCGGGAGCCAAAAATCTTGAATTTATTAGTATGCAAGAAGCTTGTAGTACACTTCTAACTAAAAAAAAAAATTGGATTGATTGGTGTAAAAAGTTAAGACTTTTGATAAATATTAAGAAGTAAAATTAGCCACCAATAGACAGTCAAGGAAGAGAAAAGAGAAGGGATATGGGTAGGAGGACTAAAGGATTTATTAGTGGAAGAATGGTTATAAGTAGATAAGGATGAAAATTTTTATTAACAATACATCAACCTTTTTTTAATAATTATACCTTTTCAATTTATCTTTTAAAGTAAAAGTTTATGAATTAATTTGTGGACACTTAATCTATTTCTATTTAATTAGATGATGTTAAAAAGGTCATAAGTTCTCGTGAATTTTATTTTTGGGTTTTATTTAGATTGAGAGAGATTTTTATTTGGCGTTTAATGTCATTAATCCTTATATTAAGAATTTCATGATTATTTTTATATTTTTAAATAAATTGGTAAACAATTGCTAGAATTATATACTGTGTTAGTTCTTTCTTTCTTCTTTTGTTAAAATGGAAATGAAAATTTAATATATATATTTTTTAATTTAAGTAATTTATAATCCTCCAAAATAATGTTAATGTTTTATGGTAATTGGAGAATAGAATCAATAGTTAAAGGAGTAGACCCATGGAGTAAAACAGTTAATGGGGCATTACTGCTAACGAATAGTTTCATGGGAGTTATATTGCAATTATATGAAGTTAGTGCGTGTAGTGAGTATCAAACTGTAGTAAGAAGGCCCACTCGCCCATAAGCGACAAAACTTATATGAAGAAACCGACTCGCTCCTTTCTGTTAACAAACGATCAAACATCATCAATTCATCATAGAGAGAAAAAAGAAGCTTTTCCAGCTTCCTTCAAAGTCAAGTGATCGCGAAATTAGGGTTTCAAGGGCTCCGATCACGCTTGGCATATCGGCTTTATGTGTGAGTTTTTATTTCTTATCCACAGCTGTGATCCCCTTTCTCCGTCTAGAATTACTTTGCTTTTTTCCTTTGATGCGATGAAATTGACTTTCAGTTTATGCGAGTACAAATTTCAAGAAATCTGATTCATTTGATAAGAATTGGTGTATAAGATCGAATCAGTTTTTTCCAATCAGTCACTTGTTTGTTTGGATTCACGTATCCCGTAAGTTATGTTCTCCGATGTTGATTTGCTCTGAATCTTTGTTCATGAATTGAATTGTGTTCGGCGTAAGTGTATGTGAATTCTTTTCTATGCGTATGTCACCTGGTCAAAATTAGCCCGGACAAGAATTGGTCCAGAATTGTGGAGTTGACATTTATGAATAGCTTCGTATACATGTTTCTGTCATTCTGCGATATGTGTTTGTTGTTGTTACCTTTCTGCTAATCTTGTAATTGATGAGTCTGCTCCACGCAATCATTTGTTATTATTTGCCAGTTGCCCTCAAAATTTGAACATTAATCATGCGTGAAATGACTTTAAGATTCTGATTCTCTGGATTTAATGAAATGAATTGTGGAGCCAGTTTTTAGCATCTGAAGAGTTACTATGCTTTGTCCAAGGAAAGATAAAAGAAAAAAGAAAAATAAAATTCTTGATGGAGAAGAATTAGCAGAACTTTCCTCGACTGAGTTTGCAGTTCAATTTATTGCAGAAACAGGGAGGATTGTAGAGTATATACAGCTATATTTTTACAAGCCTCTACGTAAATGCTACAATTTATACATTAGCGTGGAGGATTCTAAATAACTGGATATTATAGCTTATGATAATATGTATAGTCAGGTGTGACCAGCATCTTGAAGCTTTTTGGTTTGACAACCACCGAAAGTAGATTCATGCCTGCCGATTTTATTGCTAGTAAGTAGAGAAATAGAAAAGATAAAAATAAAAATTTGATCCTTGTCTTGTTTTCAGTAAATATAAATGACTCAAGTTTTTTTACTAAGTTCCATGCACAATGACTATATTGTCTTAATTATGTGTACATTTTAGTTGTCTTAAGTCGCATATTATGTTCTTCTGTTTTAAATATTGATTCACATTTTTCATTTAATTTATTGGTAAGACAATGAATATGAAATGCCCTTCCCTGTATGGTTTGATATTAGAAATGGTTGGTTTAGCTCACTCAAGGACTTCTAAATGAGAGCTAATTGGAGGCCAAACCCAATGAGGAAGAAATCTCAAATTGGCTATTTAGATAAATTTCCTGCCAAAAAGCTTAAGTCAAACAAGTAGGTTAAAAGTCATAACAACTACCAAATGGAGCCTAAGTCACTGACGCTCTAATATTCCTTCAAGAAAACCTTAATTGGCACTAGCAGGAAAACTGATGACTGGTAATCTATTACTGAATCTCTTATGGATCTTATGGAAGTTTGTTATTGGAATTGCTAATTAATTTTAGACCCAGCAACCTTGTTTGGTATTGTTTCATTTCCTATATCGTATTTTTATAAATATGTAGTGTTAGCTAATGGTTGTTTCTCTGTTTTGCAAATTTCAACAGTGATCTCTTGTGAACTGAGGCAATGAAGACAGAAACATCATCATCCTTGAATCCTTATGCAGCAGCGTATATCCCACTGTCCAGGAGAGCTGTAATTGGTGAAAACAAAAATTGCTCATTGACAGAAAAAGATTCTGATGTTGTCAGTGAGACTTTGTGGGAAGACCAATTTAAAAATATGACACTTAATCAAAGCAAAGCATCTCAAAATTACATTGATCATGGTATCCTCGCTTCTGAGCTGACGAAGGGTAATACTTTTCATAGCTCTTATGGTTCGTCATCCCAAAATTCAAGCAAAATCACAGAAAAGCAAATCATGGATGATGAATTTGACATGGGTTTGGCATATCTTCAAATGAAGTTTCCTGGGATATCTGATAATTCCCTTTATGAGATTTATTTGGCAAATAGTGGAGACTTGGAAGCCACAATCGACATGTTGCACCAACTTGAGGTAAACTCGATTAACCTTTCAAAATATGGAGAATTTATCTATTCTGTTGATGTATTTTGCAGTTGAATTAAGTTTCATCTCCCCCCGCCCCCAACCAAAAGAAAAAAAAATCCAGGTATAAGGTGTGCACAAAGGCCTTCTTTTGGCCGGGATGTAAAATGCCACTTTGTGGAGTTCCCTACTGTTTTCATTCTTGAATACGAAATCTGATGTCAAGAGAGACTGTGTGTTTCTTCATAAATTTTTTTATATTTATTAATATTTTTTTGTTTGGCTCTAAAATGAGGATTTTAAGAACTCTGAATATGTTATCTTTGCACATCTCACCCTTTGTGATTACAAACAAAAACTGACAAAGAGCAAATATTTTGGTTGTGGTGGGGGAGCCTTCAAAAAATTGGAAACATTAACTGACCTTCCTCTCTAGGTTTTAGATGAATTGCCTCCTTCCATGCTGCGTTTGAGTGGGCTGTGAGCCTGTGGTTGATCATTAGTTGAACTTATGGAGTCTACCTTACTTGACATACCATATAAAATCTTTATTAGTTCAATTTCACTTTGTGTTAAGCAGAGCATGCCCTTCCTCCTTCATTCTGACCTACCCCTTCTATGCTATTATCATTATTATTATTATTATCATCATCATCATTATCATTATTATTATATTATATTATATATTTTATTGGCAAAGGGGTGGCGTGGGGGAGTCTCCAAACTATAAGTTCTTTTGATTCAATAATTAGATATGAGTTTTTAGTGTTTAACCATTTATTGATGAAGCTGTGCTATTCTGATTTTGGTGCACTGTTGTTTTTTTTCTTTTCCCCCTTTTGCATTTTTACCAGTAGTTGTTCAACCCCAATCTGAGGAAATTTTCACGAGTTAATTAACCTTTCCAGTTGACAGATATTTTGGGTTGATAAGTTTCTTTTCATCATTGTACAGTAGGGTTGTAGATAATGGAAATGCTGCAGTCTGGTTTCACATGTCTTGACTCGGACCAAGTTTGAGGAAAGGAACTAGTAGTGAACATTAGAGCAATAATTATGTTTGCTTAATGCCTTCAATTGCTCTATAGGTTGCTTCTGAATTTTTGTGTAAAAATTACCATTATCTTTAACTCTCTAAAGCTATTGCAATTTCATCAAATTTTCCAAATTTCTTTGAAAATTGGGATCAACAAATGTTAACATTCAAAGAAGTCACTATTTGAGCATTTATAAGAAAATAAAATAAGTTGTTATTATATAGGTGAGGAGGATTTTGTTTCAAAATTAACAAACAAAAGCATTAATCTCACACTAGATACTTCATTTTATTCTTGGTAGATACCCTTGTAGGTCTTGTTGGTAGTTTCTATTTTGTTTTTAAAGCTCATCCCCAACTCAACTTTATTTTATATCAGTTCCCATCTTTTGCAAAGACGTGTTTTTGGTTTTTGACTGCATGAATACTTGTTAGATTGGGTAATTGTTTGGCAATGGCTGCATAGAAGCAAACCAAATTTCTATGATAAAAACTTTGTTGAATATGTCAATTTTGGTTCCCTCATGCTGATGTGAAGCATCTTGGTCTGTTCACCAAAAAGGTCTACAAAACTCAGAATAAATTTTTATGTTGTACTTGTAGTAGAGGCTATTAAAATTTGTTTTAAGGTTATCTCGTTAAACATTAACCTTACGCATTGATTAATGGGCTGTGTGTTCCACAGCTCTACTCTGGTGATTCTTTTGAAAATCTTCCAGATACATTGGACATAGGCGATGTCTCCGAATCTGGGTCTTCCAGCGATTCCGCATCACAGAAACTGAAGAATGTCACTGCAGAAGTTGCTGGCTCATCATCTGGTTCCTCAGAACCAGCCAGGGATGGATGTATCATGGGGCAAGTGAATTTTCAAGATAAATAGGCATTATAAGTAAGGCGAATGCGCCTGGTGACTTTTAGGGCCTATCCACATATCATGAAAGATTTGAAATACCATGTAAATTTTCATAGTTGATTAGTGATGGCAAAGGCATTACCAAAGTTGATTAGGTTCTGCCTCCAGGAACTTTGAGACTTATATGTAATTTGAAAAAAATTCTTTGAGTGTGTCTTAAAAGTTCAAACATTCTGGTACTTCTATATAACTTCTGATGTTGATCATATTTTAGAAGTTAAAACATATTTACAAGCCTTGCAATTGAAATTAACAAGTCTTTTAGCCCTAAACACCCTTTTTTGGGCTGTTTGGCTGAGGTATTAAAAGTAAAGCGCAACTTGTATTTTTATCAATTTAATTCTAAGTTGATTTGTCTCATGCTCCTTTTTTGTAACAAACCATATTGAAGAAATGCTCAGGTAATGGCAATATTTTTGGCCACGATCCATCCGGCATAAACAACTTTAAGGCCTTTTTTTGTAATTATTATTTTTTATTGTATGTTATACACATACGTACATATTAATTTATATATTGCGAAATTGATTTTGATCGGGATTAATTCAAATCTATACTATTCTAATAGCAAACTAACTATAGGTATATTCATTATTTCTATTGGAAAGGGGTACATTTGGAGTGTTTGAAAATGAGAGCATCGTACACAAGTTCCATCGTATAAAAATACGTACAAACAATTTGTTATATGAAAAAAAGTAATAATAATTAAAATAAGAATGTATTGACACGTGAAACACTTCATTTGTTAACACCAGGGGGAGCTCTCGGTACTTTGCATGCCTAACTCCTATATTGTAAAGTAGTTGAGCTCATAATTTGTAAATAAGGATTTCCTACAATTTTATAAATTTTTTCTCATAAAAATTGAGCAACCTTCAATTAAAGAGTTGCCTTCTTAGTAAAAACAAGTATAAGAAAAATGTTTTCCTTCCTTCAAATTTATTTACATGATACTAAATTTAATTTTCATCCTAAAAAGAACACCTATTCCATTTGACAAACTAGAGATAAGGATAACATAATTTTAGTTATCTTGTTATCCATTTAATTAAAATTTAAGTATTATTTGATTCATTTAAAAAATTAATTTTTAAATTTCTAAGTTGTAATTATAAATTAAAAATCTATGAAAAAACTAAAAAAATCTAATTTCACTTTTTTGTAGTTTTTTTAAAAAATTATTTATAACTTTTTGAGTTTTATTTCATTTAAAACTACTATATTTGTGAAAAAAATGTAAAATGGCTTTTTTACCTTTTATATTACAAATAATTTTTTTTAGCGATACAAAAAAGATCTAAAATTTTTAAGAATATGGTAAAATCATATTCTTAATAAGTTAGATTTTTTGATTTTTCTGGTTTTAAAAATTTTTTCATATTAATTCAAGTAATATAAAAATATAAAAATCAGAAATTTAAAAAAATATTTTAATAAATGAAGCAACCAATTAATATTTTTTTGACTATGATGAACAAAATATGTAAATATTAAGAAAATTAACTTTTTTAGTGACTAAAGCAGCTTGTTAAAATTAACGATTGCTAAAACTAAAATGAATAATATGCTCATTTAAAAATTTGAAATCAAACTAAAAAATGATACAATAAATTTTTTTTAAAACTTAGATTTTCTGAGTTTTATTTTTTAATTTAATAAAAATATAAAAATTTTTAAAAAATATGTTTTAGAGTGAATCAAAAATTTTTATCAAATAGATAATCCAAACATGTGAAGTGGGTTACTTTCATATTTTTTTAATAGAATTATTTAGTAATGGTTAATTAACAATTAGTCAAATTGAGTAAATATTTTTTAAGAATAAGAGTGAGATTAAATATCATTTAAGTAAATTTAAATAGAGAAAAGTATTTTTTGCCTTAAAAAATTTAAAAATATGAATATAATCATTTTTTTTGGATATATATAACTTGATGGATGAAGTTGATTATTTTAAGAAAATGCCATTGACCATGTAAAATTTAAGTCCTTTTCTTTTCCCTCTTTAAGCATAAATGGGAAAAGAAACAATAAAAGGTGATTGAATTTATTGCTCATTCTAAAATTGGATAAATAAGTGAAAAATAAATTTGAACACAAGATCTAAAATTTTCTTCATTTTTGTTTCTTTACATTTAGAAAGATTGTAACATCCCAACCCAAAACCCTCATCATGTGCTTTGTATTTTATTTTGCATAAACATATTTAGTGGGGTGATTAGTGGCTTAAGTTTAAAAATTCCTTAATATTTAAGGGCCAAAAGAGTAATTTTTCAAATTCTTGAAGGTGGAAAAAAAACATAAAATAAAATAATAATAATAACATATATTAATCTTCTACCGCCCAAGCTTTCAGGTGAAGCCACATGGAGTGCATCATAATTGTAGTAATAGTGAATTAACAATAAAATAATTGTAATAATAGTGAATTAACAATAAAATAATTAGAATAATAGTAATAATAATAATAAAATAATAGTAACAGTAATAAAATAATAAAATATTAGTTTATTGGCCTTATTGCACCGCTTCTTCTAGAAGGCATCAATTAAACATATATATATATATATATATATTTCATTGCATAAGTCAGCTACGACTTGAAGAAAATAAAAGAAAAGAAAGAGATAGGAGAACAGAGAGAGAAGGGAGAGCTCGAGAGGCAGGAGTTGCAGATGAACGAAGACGAAGAAAGTTTTAATTTTTTTTAGTAAGTTTTTCGATTAATTTTTTTTATATATTTTCAATTTAGATGTATTTTAGTTTCATTTAATCGGTTTAGATTTTTGGTTTAAGTACTGTTTTTATGATATTAGGGAATAAATTCTACCAGTTTAGATTAATTTTTTTTTATTTAATTAATTCATATTAATTGTACTGAGAAAGTGATTTAGTTAGTTTAGTAAAAATAAGGCCAAGTTGATATTAGAATTTATCTAAATTCAAATTTAGAATTTTGCTAACATACTTACCGATTATTTTTCATAAAAAAATAATTATAACTCCTTTTGTGAACCTGAGCATACCTTAGTATACCTAACTTGACAATGAGTATAAAATAATATTTTAAGAATTTTTGGAATGCGTATGCAGTAGAAACTTTGACCCCAAATAAAAATGGTAGAA